AAGTTATATTTTACTTTGCGAAAGAATTGATTAAATTTTGCTTTCGATCGTTTCCTTTTGCTATCCATAGACGAAAATTTCAGACGTATTAAATTTATCTTTACGAATAACTAAAACAACGTCTGTGATATACAGAATAAACAATTAAACATTTATAACGCAAAATACGTTGAAAATATTTGATTGCTTTATTTCGATATAATACAATTAAAGATTAAGATGAAGTACGTAATTGCGATAAATAAATTCAAATGAAACATAACGTTAACTAAGTACATGTAATTACAACGTACGTAATATAAATATAAATCATGTGAAATTATTTTGTTGTCAGACACGCTTATTGTTACAAGATCTAGCGTTTTTAAAGGAACGTTAAATTAAACAATGTTGAATAGAATCGGACACTTTACACGTATACATCTACACGCATGTACGTACACGTACATACGTGTTTAAGAGTTCTTTCATTACGCTACAGAGTACGTATTCGGATTTGTTTTGATTATCTCTCTGATTGTGAAAGTTTTGTACGACAGCGAGCCATCGGAAATTCGTTCGGTCGAATAATGTAATCCTTACGAGTGTCCTGTGTTACATAGTAACAAAACTATTCCACGATACTTTCGTTCTAGGTCATCTACTTTCCCATTATGAACATTATCCTTAAGTCGAAACGTTCAACGTTCCATTCCATTGGTGAGACTTTTACAATTCTTTTTTTAAGCGAACTTTTAACGTTTTCGAACGAGTCTCAAAATGAAAAAAAGAAAGAAAAGCTGTATTTATCGAGTGATTAAATGTCGACCGTTTAAGGTATCGAGTGATTGACGTTAAATAAATTAATATAATCAAGAATTTTATAAAGATTGGATTCGTCAAAGCTCACCTCGTTTTCTCATCAAATATTTTTAAATCCCCGACAGCTCTTATTCCTTTTACATCTATGTTCTGATTATAGGTACGAGATTGACATTTCCTGTCACGTTTTATCTGATTAAAGAATCGTACTAATCTAAGGTTTACTAATAATCTTAGAAGTGCCCGTTATCGAGAAGATCTTATGCGACATTATTCACACGACACAGTGGCATAACAATTTATAGTATCTATAGACATCGTTTGCTTTGATGTTTAGAGGGAAACGTCGTTTAATTTTACATTTCTATAACGTTTGTCATATAGATAATAATTCATTTACATCTGCATTTATCAATAACAGTAATAGTTACCTAGTTCTGTCTAAATTGTCATTTAATATTATGTATTCGCGTGTGTGTGTGCGTGTGTGTGTGTGTGCACGCGCGCGCGCGCCTGTGTATACAGAAAAACACCAGTGAACTCGACATTAGTCTTTCAAATAATTTATGCAAAGCTGCAAATGAAACGCGCTCCGTGACTGAGCGTGCAAATTTGTGCGCAAGATTACTCGAAAATTGAATATATATTCGTTTCAAAATACCTGGAATTACTCGACAAGTCCGTGGAAAAAAAATATAGCTCTACGTTTAGAAAAAGCGTATGTAGGATAATGTACAAGCGAAGGAATTTAATTATAAATACGATAAATGATCAATCATTGGCAGACTATGAATAAGTAACTTTAGTAGAGAATATCTTTCTACAATGTTACACGAGCTTCGCTATGAATCGATCGTAGGATCAGCTTTCTAACGGTTTATCGTGTCTGGAAAAGAAATTGGCACATATTTTTTACTGGTCTCGATCGATCAACAACGATACATTTTTGGAAATTCCGTGGATTGTCTTCCGTGGATTGATATCGATAAAGATGGGCGAAAGTAAAAGATCTTTTTTTCGTTTCTCGTGATCTTTCGGTGAGTCGAGATATGTATGAATCGTGTTAAAATTATGTTAAAACAAAGCTGATACTTTTAACGAGATGTATCTTGGAACGTAAGATACGAAATCTCCTACAACGCAAAAGAGAATCGATAACATTTTGATTACGAGAATGACATGCTCCGCAAAATTATCCAAGTATGTATCAATTTGTACAAGTATGTTTGCTTCGACGTTTTTTTATATTCCATCCGGAATCTGTTTAAATATAATTCTGTTTTTACAGAAGCCTTTGCTAAAGAAAGTTACACGTGAACACAGATTTTTAAGGTAATTCGTATGTTTCTTTTTAAGAGCGACGATACATTGTTATTAATAAAATTAATAACGAGATCGGGGCTTTGTATTCAGGTACTCTATTCCTGACCCGTAAGAGTATTTGACGTTTAAAATATAGAAACTCCAGGAAGAAATGACTTTCGATGAAAGTACACAAATTCGATTGTTTTTAACTCGATCGGTGTTAACAGATACGACAAAAAGTAATCGATTTGAGAAACAGCAACACGTGAGATTTTCATGAAACGACCTATATAAACCTATCGAATTAAATAGCATACGGTTATTGTATAGCGAGTAATCGAATAGAAAATTAATCGAATATAAGTTTTCTTTGCACGAAACATCCGAAGAAGAAAAGAACGGAGAATTGTATTTGTGTACTTCACCATGATATTTCATTTTGAATTTTGTCACAGACGAATACATTTGTCCTCGTATAATCCCTTGGAATCGATAGTTTTGTTTTACGAGTGTATTCGACGTTGACGAAAACATCGGTGTTAAAATTTTACGCATGGTTTACGTTAATCACGCAGGTTATAGTCCATTTGACTTTCAACAACATTTATGAGCGATACGCTTCGTATTTACAATAACTATTATTTTTTTTCCATCACAGATATTTATACAATGTAAATTTACAATCAAACAAGCTACGATCAACAGAAAAAAAAACACGACTAGTTCAGGATTTACAATTGTTATGGAAAAGTGGCTCGCTATAATATCCCGTTGATCGTTTTACTCGCGTGAAACTTGTGCGGGGAACGTGCTAGCTGGAGAATATGTTTCACGTAGCCCATACGTCATGTTCCTTTTTTCTCATTCTCGGTGTACAGACTGACTAGAATTAGTATAATATCGTATCTAGATAAAAGAGAGGTAAATAGAAATTCGCGAAACGATATGCGATACACCTAAAAACAACCGAAACGTTTCGAATACAAAGCATAGCCAATACCGAGATCCACGTGACTATAAACTATAAAGTGGAATCTTACATCGAGGAAAGTATAACGAAGATTATCCGTGGAATGTCCTTTTGACAATTGGATAAAAAAAGGATTACGAAGGATGCAGCTGATTACCGAAGCTTATCACTAACATAGTTTCTTTTTAAAAGGCGAAAAAGAGTATAAGAAGAAGAGACAGAGAATATTATTCTATGTATATTTTTGGCTAATGATTCTTGAGTAAAGAACATCTTCCTTTATTCTATTATTTTGCACGTATTATATATCTCAATCTGATAAGCACTTTGTCATTGAATTCGTTACCGCGTTCGGACATTTAAATCGATGGTTATAAATCTTTTTCATTCTTCTTCGATTCTTTAATAACGTAGTAATTTTCGTAACACGAGCACCTCTGTTCTTAATTAATTATAGTAAATAAAGCAAGACCAAGTATATAATATAACGTAACAAAGCGTAAACTATCCAGTTTAATGAATAACCCGTTTGTTTCAGCGAGATGACACGGATATTAATTTTCCTCGTATTCGTTACGACGACTTTAACGATACGATCATCGAATAGTCACGCTAAAAGTGTCGTCAAGTATGGCGGAATAAATATTTTTGGATTACATTTAGATACATCTTTAATGATATGCGCGTTCTCAATATGCGAGTAGACTTTACACGACAAATGTGTTAAAAATACACGAAATAGAAATCACACTTTGCACTGTTATCGATCGATCTTTCGATGGAGAAAAATATCGATACGATGGAAATTATGATAGGTCCCGCTCTCCTAACGAAACTCTTCGGCAAATTTTCTTATAAAACATGGTACTATCGGAGAAAGAAATAAAAAGATGTAAAATTAAGCACATACTATATATCTCTACGACATTGTTGTAACGACATTAAGAAACGATAAGAATAGGGAAGTTTGGAAAAAGGGAGTAAAAGTTAGATTAGGATTAGGAGCCGATCGAAGGCATTATATCATTACTCTACTGATTGTCAAATACAATCTTCGATCTTTGCTGCTAATCTCCGTCGCTAGCATTTTTAATATTAATATTCGTTTGCACTGGCGCGTCTCAGGGATTAATACTGCTCGATTGAGCGACTTTAACTAAAAATCAACGATCGAAATCTCTCCGGTTTCGTCAGCTAGTCTACATTCCGTCGAAATAAACGATGTCACCGGTATCGTCCATCACTTTAACGTCGTCTCTCGACCGAATCGTACGTCTCGTACATGTGGACGACAGTGATCGACACGGTTTGCTAAATAAAATAGAAATATGCTGGTAACGTTCGTACAAACTATAAACTTTTCCTCCGCGTGTACCTGTGACCGGAACGATCCAGCGTTCCAACAAAAATGTTGAAAATTTCGATCGCGCATCGTACGCGAAGATGGCACAGCGCGATCGATATATGTAGAAATTTTCCTCCCTCGTTCAAATTACTCGTTCAAGTAGCAACGAACATCGCTTTTCTCGGATTCCACGTAAACACACATTGAAATTCACGAGTGGAAATATAGGGAAAACGGACGTTACTGCGACTGTGACGACGAGCGAGACTGGACAGAAATGGACGGGGTTGAAAACACATTGGCTCGTGTCCGACATAAACCGACGCCGTTCGTACTATTTGCAAGAAATATTGGACATCTACTTTCGAAGAAACTTGGGGAATATCAGGATACGCTCGCCGGTTAGGCTTTGGATTATAACTTCGCCTAGACATTTATTTCGTCCTTTTCTCGTGATGAAAAACGAGAATGCTACTCGTACGATTCGTACAGAATCAACGAGTTGAGTGCACATTTAAACCCGTAAACGCTTCTCATAATCACAATTGAGCAATTGAGATTCAACGCTCGATGTGAGTACTTCTTTCCTTTTTTTTTCTCTCTCTCTCTCTGTTAACGTTTTCCGTATTATCTAGAAAATAGCCCGAGGATAAGACAAGGATAATTACGTATCGATAATTGAAGTGGCTTGATACTTAAGATTACTTTGTGGATGTATGGCTCACAGAAGGTGGCAGATTAATTAAGGTTGAACTACTTAGCCTGGATGTTCTTGGCTCGATCTCCAAGGACATGCGATATAGATCCTTCTCGTTTAGCATCAACGACGGGTCCAGCAGATAATTCGTAACTTTCGTTATCAGTTCGATCTTGTAGGGTGTCTGCTGGAAATGTCGTATCTCTCGAATCACGTGGGCAATCTGGAAATAAATCGAAAAATTTCCTCCAAATTTCAAACTCGATTTAAAGAATTGGCTCGAGCTAAGCGAGTTTATACGTTTTCAATTCGCGATATCTCTCTCTTCTCTCTCTTTCATTTTTTACAGTAACAATTTTACGACATGACCGAGTAACGAGTAAACCGATTTACCATTCTCATTTTGGAAAAGTTTAAAAGGCCATCTTCGGTCATAGTTGGTGTACCCTCTTCTATGAAAGAAAGATCGGTCAGATATAATCCTAAATAAGGAATGCAAGGTGGATCGCATCGATGCAAAGCGTCCCGTAGGTTTCTAAAGCGACCGTCCGAAGACACGATATTCTGTAGTCTCTCGATCGTTTGCTTCGTCTATAAAACAAACGAAACAGCTCGTATATGTTTGTCATTCGGCATTTTAATATCGCGTGATCGTCCCTTACCGTTTTCGAAACTTTTTCCCAAGTCTTTTTCAATCTGAAGACGCTGCTGTTTGTAAAAGCTGCGCAAATCTGCAGCACACCGTTGTAATTGTGCAAAACCCTGCTGATATCCGCGACTGCGGCCCATTTCTCGATCGCTGCAACTCTCGCTGACATGTTCGAACGTCGGATAATCTCGGAGACGACCAACTGCGACACTTCGTTGAATCTCTTCGTCATCAAGAGAATGTGCGGTGCGCGTGTAGCCTTGTCAGTTTTCATCCACGCTTGTCCAAGAAATTCCCTACGCAGAAATAGAAGCGGATTACAAATACTTTGGATGTCAGCGTTCCTGTATCGATGGATACAAGTCGGACGAATCTTCTTTATCCAAAAACATTTATTTTCACGGTGAAACTTCAACGATTCATAAACGGAGCAACGAGTTAATACGTTTGGATAACTTACTCGCTTGAAATAGACACGAAGATCTTGTGATCCAAGTACGTCATTTGCTCTGCGATTTCAAGCGCTGATAGCGTCTCGATGCTTTCTTTCGTTTGCACCTGAAATCGCGTGACGATATTTTTCAATATATTACGGTTTGTAGCACAATGTTTTTGACTAGGAAAAATACAAAAGAAGAATTAACTATGTCTATTTAGTATCGTGGGTTATCGATGTTTCGCGTATACGTACAGTGGGAGATGCCAACAGTTTCTTCAGATCCACTTTGTTGCTCTCTGGCTCTTCTTTCGTGATCAATCGAAGAAGTTGGCTCGCGGCTTTGTGTTCAGCCGGAAGAAGATTCGAGCAGTACATGATATCCTCGAGAAACTCGATCGTCAGATTTTTCAACGTCTGATCGGACTCGAAGTCTTGAGCGTGTTTCGAGACCCAATGCCTCAAAACGTTTAACACTCGCATCGTGGCTGCAGTTGACATGACCGACTCCTTGCGCCTGTTTTTGTCTCGACAAGAACCACTGCGATTATTTCCATCAATGCCTTTGTCCGGGGGGTTGCTCGACGCAGATGTTGCAATTGCGAATGCAGTTGCAGCCGTCGAGGTACTACTCCTAGATATATAGATTAGCAACGTTAATCCTTTCTGCTTTGAATTTGTTTTTGTGCTGTTTGTACATATTAAATGGACACATAGTGTTTATCTTTTTACCGTTATGATTATTCTTTTGAATAGTATGAAACGTTTCGGCTATGACATTACACATAATTCGTTACATAACATGCATATCTTTAGCATTTGTAAATTGTTATACCATTTAATATATCATTCCTCGTATTATTCAAATAAATAATCATAAAGTATATTATTTAATTAGTAGTTTGTTATTGGTTAACATACTGTTGCCTATTCGAGTATATTCGTTAATAAACATAATATTGTTTATTCTACCATATTTTTTAGGAAATTCCCTTTCGAGAATTATCGTGATTCGAATCAAAGCTTTTCCTTTTCCAGAGATAGGCTTTTAATTTGAGCGAATATCTTTTACGTTGAAAATCTTCGGCGAAGCACAGATATTAAATTACTCGACAGTTTCGTAACATCGGATGATTACTGTTTATGAACATGTTTGTTCCCCATCAACTTTAGGCCGTACAACATTTCGATAATCAGTAAATTTACATATTATAATTTGTAATATCAAAATATAAATTTACTAATTAAGACGAGAGAATATCAAACTTTATATCGTTTATCATTTTATAGACAATAGTGAACATCTAAGTGTGACGATTAAAAGACACATATTTCTTTCTTTGTTATCTACAAACTACCCAGCACATTACGAAGAAAAAAAAGAAAAGAAAAATCTAAATCTTTTTCTACTGATCATTCGAAATACGCTGAATCTTACAACTTCTTTATCACTTGAATTTGTATTTTGCAGTGTCAACCGTATTTATCTTCCGCCACGGTATTCTCAATGAACTATCGAGAAACGTATCGACAAACGTTTGAACATCGAATTATACGTAGGAAAATATTAGTTCAAGTTTATTCCTTAAATTTTTATGTCACATACGTATTGCGTATTAGATTCGAACTTTAATTAGATTCGAATTTTAATATTGTTAATATCGACGCTATATACACATGTATAATATATGCATCGTACAATTTTTTGCGACAAAAAAATACTGATTATTAAATAAATCAGCCTATTGCGAATGATTTCTCTAATCTAGAATCTAATGTGCACTAGTGTGCGCCTTGCTGTCTAGTTGATTAACAAATACCGACAATGCAATAGCTGTATCCAGCTGCTGTACTAAACTATAACCGCGGTAGAGACACTATTACCGCGAATATCAATTAATACAAGACGTCTAAACAGTTCAAACTATTTCTATTTCGTTTAGCTCGCCCATGATGCAGGATAATTAGTAATAAAATGAAAGTAGGTAGTACGAAACATAACAAATGTTTAAGAAATATATTACAAGATATCGATACAGCTTTGATTATTTCCTTTGAAAAATAAATATTGAGATAACAAAAACATTTGAAAAAATATTATGCGATTATAATATAAAATCTTGGTTTTAAGATAGTCGATATTTAGAATAAATCAGGTTCGGGTATTCATGCATTCAAAATCTTGTCCATTATTCGAGAAAAGTAGGTTTGTAAAAAGATTTTGTACAAGTTATAGTTCTTCTGAAATAGGACTTCGTACCGTCTTGCGATTCGTATTATGCGTTACTATAGTTTAAACTATTTGCGACTTAAATTATAAAAAATAACTACGTCGAATTACATGACGACCGATGTTATATTCTTTGTAGGCTTTATATTCTTTATATTCTTTGTGAATTTTATTTTTAATAAATTTAAGAAGACCTAGATACCTTTTGGGATGTATGGAAATTTAGAAATTTTGCAATGTGCTTCAAGTGAACGTGAGCAATAAAACGACGAGAGAGCATACACGTGAGTTTGTGAAAGAGATAGAGATCATCATGCGCCACATAGAGTGAAAAATAGCAGTGTTTCAGAAGCAGAAACGATGACACTTACCAGATAGGTACAGGTCCAACGCTATAAGTGACACAAAACGTCATATGAAATACAGTTGCATTAAAATAACTAAAGTATTATCCTGGATTGAAAAATTCATTTGGTGAAAATAAGCATGTCGAGTTACGAATAGAAACGATTTACGTCGATATTGGAATCGACAGTACGTTCTTTCGAAAGAATATTATTCACGTATTATCGTGTTGAATAATAAATATCGTATAAAACGTACGAAATCACGAAAGCGAGCTTGGACAATCGATTTTACAACTAAATTACAATACGTATACTTTCGAATCCGTTCGTTCGTGTCACTGAAAAAATATAATTGTCCAATTACCAACTCAAACCTGAAATCTTGGAATTTCGATGTATCGCTCGATCTCCTAAGGATAAACGATATACGTAGAGATAAAAGAAAGTGATATTAAAGTAGAAGAATATCAGATATACGATGGTCGTTAATTATAATAAGGAAAAGCTATATACTTTGTAGTAAAAATAATATAATAAGATACACATAAATTTTCCAATCGTTGCGTATGCAGTACTTCATAAATAATAGAGATAATAGATGATAGTGTTGTTTAAACGAGGATAGAAAAATACGAATATCTCTGTCTACAAGAAAAACAAGGAAGATTTATTTGTAGGCGGAAGAAAACACGTAAGAATACCGAGACAAAGCACTCATGCGTAAGAAAGTGAAAAATACCTTTATTACAGTCAACATTCATTAGCGATACCGTGAAACGAAATAGAGATAATTTTTCTTCTTTTTTTTTCTCTTCTGTTTCAAGATACAAACGTCTGTACAAATTAGTTCCTTAATTATATTCGCGGTACACGTTCGATAGAATGATTAATCGTTATTTTAACGTAATATTATGGTATCTCAATTAGCTCGATACAATTTATACATGTCCTTGAAGTTGCATGCTAATGTTTTCTTCAAATGGATACGGTAGATGACTATAAACGTTGTTCGATCGTATTTTCTGTATAAAGACGACGATATCGTATAGTTTTCGGGAAATGAAAACCTCGGATCGATCGACATGCGCACTTTTTTTTATGATGCGTACAACAACGTATGGATATACATAGACAGTTAAACACGTCAGGAATACTCGAACGAACCTTCGATGACTCTGCCGAAAGCTGGTAATCACTACTCCAGCTTTGCTGGAAACCTGGTCATGTTGGAAGTTGCCTTGTTGGGAAGACATTTCGATTTCTTGAATCGATCGCCTGCTCATCCAATAATTCTGCAAAACGCAAATAACCTATTCAATATTTCATTTATATTTCAATCAAAAATACTATTAGTGTTACGTAGTAACGTAGCTCGTTGTACGTTAAATCCTTTGTAATATCGGCAATAATACCTCGATTAAAAATATTATTAATTTAAAGAAAATGAACTATCACCGGCCTTCTGTACCATATACTTCCCTACGTTCTACTTATTTCAATTACTATGACATGTTATGCACGTTATGCATATGTATCTGTGTGTATGAATAACATTAAGTGTATCAAAGAAACATATTTCTCCACATACTCCAGTTATCGTAGAAATCGAGCTACTTCTCGCGGTAGCCGCAGGAGCAGAGGCGATGGATGCTCTATGTTCGTTATGATGTAGATGTTGCCTCTGTTGATTCAGCTGATTTTGTTGAGGAGACGGCGGCTGAGCCGATGGACTGCTGCTTTCACTTTCTTTCGCGGGCTGTTTCTCTTTCTCGTGTTTGCTTGCTTCGTTCTCGGTTGTTTCGATGGCTGTCGCCTTTGGCGTTGTAGGAGTTTTCGTCGGTGTCTCCTCTTTCGCTTGTTTCGATGTTTCAGACTCGGCATCCTCGTAGATAAACTGTTCCTCTGATAATTTGGAAATAATTGTATGAGAAAGTTATAATGGAACAGCCTGTGTGAAGGAGCCATGCGACAAGTGGCGTGTTAAGCTTTAATTTCGTGACCAGCGTACCCCCTTTTGGCGGATCCGTTGCTACAGGTGTATCGGTTTCTTCGGAGACGCCACGCGAATAAGTAACCCCATCCTGTGGACTTCGATCCGATCCTGATCCTGACCCTGAACCAGTTGACCCAACCAACGTAACAGAACTCAGATTGCTAGGAGAGGACGGTGCGCTTATTACCGTATTATCTGAAATTAATTACGCTATTATTTAATATCAGCGAAACGCGTTTGTCACGGTAAGATATTATATGATAAAAAGAATTTTTTTAATAATTTACAGTCAATTTTCCTTCAAGTGACGTAATTTCTTACTGTATCCGGATAGTTATTAACGGAGGTATAATAGATTGGAAAATATTACCTTTTTAAGAGTAACGCCGCTTAATAATACTGCATGCGTAACATAGGTGAGACGAAATTATTTAAATAATATTAATATATATATATCAATGCAAAGGCCTCGGTAAAATGCAGGGAAGAGTGGGGTGAAACGGAACGCCGGTGTTTATCTTTGATAAGAACTGCTAATGAGTTGCCATTACGTAACACGAGACTAAATATTCCTCGCAATAATTCACGATCGACCATAGACCCGTGCGCATATTATTTCTTGGTTTAGAATTTAGAGAGTTGGGAAAATTCCCGCTGTCGAAGTTTAATACGTCAAGTATATTAAATGTTTACCGAATTATCTCATCCGCGGCAAAACGAAACGCTTCAGTATGGAATAAATTGCCTATGTAAATACGTATAGGCAAGAATAGAAATGTTTGCAATTAGATTGATTGCAGAATAAAATTAGAATTGCTGTTCTGGTTTCCCAGAAAATTATGACGTACGAGATACGTCTTTCGTTCGATCCAGCCGTCAGTTGAAATTTTAATAATCAATGCACTTATCTCATGCGGATGTTATTCACGTAAAAATCCACGTGTATTCTTCGAAATGACACTAGTGCGTGTTCGTCAAGTTCGTCGAGAAAATATAGAATAACGAAAAGAAAAAGAGGAGAAAAGGAAGAAGAGAACGAGCCACTATATTAACATCGACCTATATGTTGGTTTTAAACGAGTGTTCCGTTTTATCCCACCACTCGAGCCAAGCGGATATTTCAATACATCTGGAAAATCATATTTTCCGTCATGATCAACTACTTCTTTTCGCAAAGTGTTTCATCCTTTCATAGCTTAAGCCCTAGTGAAGACTTCTAATGGAATCCTATGCCTATCGCCTATTGATGGTTTGTTCTTGCAATCTAAAGTTAACTGTTCTATCCTAGTTTTTAAAATAAATTTTATAAAAGAAGAAAATAGATCTTAATAATTGTCTTCGAACAGAAATTCGACTTGCAGTTATTCTATGATTTCTATTGTCTATTCCCCGGATACGATTAAAAAACCGTGCACTTTTTCCGAAATTTGATCTTACCCGTGAGTGTCTCAGAGCTGGACGAAACACCAATGACCTTTGGTATCGTTAAATGACAGCCATCGTCTTCTTCTTTCTTTTCTTTGTCCACGCGAATGCTGATTTTTCGTGGTGTTGCAGGAGATTGAGAACCAATGGACGCAGTGGACGATTGTATAGTAGGACTTCGTTTTATAATTGAAGGAGCTTCCGAAATCAAACCTAGTTGCTGCTCCTCGTCCACTAAAATAATTATTAATCGACAGTTACAAATATTTTTAGTGATACGAACTGATAGAACTCATAGAATAACTTTCGCGCATATTTCGTGGTATTAACAATGGCAAGTTTGTTACGTTAGTTCGTTGTTATATCGTGCGCTTATTAATCACGAACACTGACGCATATTTGAATAGACATTAGCAATACGTAATCGTTTATTAGCAGGCAGAGTCGTTGAATCGTTAACGTTGATAATATAATAACGTTAACGCGTTAAAAAACATATCGCTCGAGTAAAATAATAGAAAATGCGATAATTCTTCTAATAAAACTAGATATATGCTATTGCGTCATGCAACAATCTTCAAAATAATTACGATCTACTTAACTGCATACCGTAATGTGAGACAGAGCTACTTAAAAGAGAAATCTTAAATAATTTGCAAATATATTATTTTAATACATAATTTGCCGCTTGAACTACTTAAATGCTTCGCTATAAATACTTCGTGCGATTTGCAACGATCGAAAAGTATTTGTACGTGACTCGTAATTATTTGACAATACATTACAAACAGAGGAGCGTTATTCTATGCGTATAATCTATAAAACTATTTTATCTAACTCTGCTACCAGATTTTACTTTTTCAAGACAATGGCCATCTAAGTACGATTTATCGCTTCTGCATACACAAAGGAAGCTAATGCTACGCTCGTTTACTTTAATAAACGATTTACCCTTTTTATATCCGCCACTGCGCCAATATCCCTTCGAATTGAGCGTGTATCCGCCGCTGCTAGAGTCACAGGAACCGTGACTCTTCGCTTCACGGCTGTCGCTTATTTCCGATCCGTATCCTATATACGAAAAAAAAAAAAAAATGAAAGGTGAATTTTTCAAAGACAATTTATCGATATTTTCTTCCGTGAAACCACTTTTTAATAACGTAAGATTAATTTACAAGTCGATAAATATACCAGAAACTGAACTAGCCCCGCTGGTTCTTCGTGGTGAAACGCTGCTTCGTCTTCTATCGTCCACGTGCAATTGCGAGTCCGCTGTGTTTCCGCCCAATACGTCTAAGGATCTGGTGGACATACATATTTACATCCAATTAGAAAAGTCGAAGTTTCTTATATTTCACGCGTACGTTACAACTTGTTTCATGGAGAGACAGGATTATCACAATCCAGTACGCTCGGTCAGAAGGATGCTTTCGTATGAAACAAGAATGGGCAACAGATTCAGAAACTTACACCAGGGAACCAGTAGGCATCTCGGCATCGGGTGGCTCAGCCTCGTAAAACACTTTCTTCAGAGCTTCCAGTACGGTAACGCCACTGGTGAATACTCGATACGTTAACAAAAACGTATTGAGAAAATCTATACTGAGAAATCTGAGATCCGTCAGACGTTGAAGTAGTCGTTCAGGAGTGGCTGATCGGATTTGCGGCACTTTGCAGGAATTTAAGGTCCTACTGAATCTGATATCTACGTCATCCTTGAACAGTTTCGGGTCGTTCCTGATGGATTGAGGCATCGTGACGGAACTAGTGTCCGACAACGAGCCTCGAACTAAATCGTTGAACTGAACGTTGTCCATACACTGGCTGATATCGCTTATCCAAGCAGCTTTCTCCTTCATTCGTTAATTAAAAGTTTCGTTAATTTGCCTTTCCTCGCAAATGGAAAATATAAAATGTAATTAAAGAGAGATAATTCAAGAGACTCTGAAGAGAGAATTTTCTGAGAGAAAATTAACAAGAACGTAGGTATCTATGGCAGATGATTCTTAATAAGTAATAATTATATATTATATGGATAATAATCGTTGTTATAATCGTCTTACGCTGTACCTGAATAGTAGGAGCTACGAGGTGTACGGTAACTTGAGATCCGCCAGATTTTAAGTCGAGTATGATTTTGAAGTCACGGTTCTGCAGTTGACTACTGGCACTTCCGCTACCACTTCCGCTGCTCTCGCTGATGCCGCTGGACATCGAACATACTGACAGTTCTAAAATCAGTTTGCAATCACGGCAATACAATATTAATTATGTGTAAAGTATTTAACACACTTTTGCAAAAGACAGATCATCCACTGCTTGGAATGTCGCCGCAGGCCCAAAGTCGAAGAAGCTTGAAGTGTTGCAAATAAATGCATAAAAAATTAAAAATAGAAGGAAGGAGCATTCTACGTATAGGGAAGCAGCTGGTCTACTTAGAGATCTAAAAATAAGACATTTTAAAGGAAGACAGACGATAGTTGACTATTTTCTTTACTAGTAGGAGCTAGGAGCGTTAAAAAGTCCTCGTGTCGAATCCGCTGATCGATTAGTCGTTTAAATACTTAACAAATTTGTGGAAATCAATTTTTACAACAAATTTTCAAACTAAGAATGATACTTGTTGCCGTTCGAAGCTGCTAGAATTTCGCAAGAATTTACGTTTAGTTACAATTAAGAAATCACCTACTAAGTGCAAAAAATTAAGTCGATTGCAGTAGCATGAGAGTACAAAGTAAAGCGCTAAGAAGCCTTAGTCGAAGAATAATAATGTTGTAATACCATCGTCATCTGCGGTACTCTGTTCGTTAGGGTCCTCCACTAACACCGCATCGGAAAGAGGTATTTTTCCTATTTGTGGGACAAGATTCAAACGACCATCGTCGTCCGATTGACGCGTCGTTAGTAACAAATGATTGGAAAAGAGAAAGCACTGTCTGACTGCTTCCTTATCGCCACCACCTTTGCCTCCAAACGTCGCGCTCAATCTACTTCGAGCTCCTTTTGGTTTATCTAAGATTTGGATGAGCGTACCTGAAAAACATAAAGTAGCAAGTTAATAAGAAAGAATCTTTTGTCAAAGAATGGACAAAATATGACGAATCGGTGAATTAATTTGTTCAAAAACTTTGCGCGCAATAATATTTTCAAATATATATACATAAAAGTATATAATTAATTTTAGCAAAATACCATTGCCTGAAACAAAATTACGAAAGTTTGTTATTTACTCGTACCTTGCTCGATTCGATACGTATATGAGCTATTTTGTTGACAAGTCGGCATAGAACAACAACAACAAAAGGCAGGAAATTATCCACCAGTATTTTCGATGTATCTGAATATCCTTGATCCCTAATACTATCATTTGTACACTTCCTTGGTCCCCGTTATTTCGATGATACCTCCAACAAATACGAGTCACCTCTCGATAAAATTTACGTGATCACATTTTCAACACACGCTGAATTGTTCACCAATCGAACTGCAAAATGGAGCTCGTATGTGCTCGTATATATATATACATATATTTGTTTCTCGTCCCGCTAACCCCATGATACAACTTTGAAATTATCAGTCGGTAGTTCTAGAAGCTACAATTTCCTTCTCTGATTCCTTTAAGCGATATTACAAACGTAGAAAATTTACAATTCTGGCGATACCAATGTCAGGAGAAAACCATCCGCGGGTGGGGCTTTTCCTGCACGCTATAAAGACGGAAGGACGTTTGCGTGGTAGCCATGTGATGCGATATCAAACACGAGGGATCAGGGCTGTGTTAACAAACGATCCATCCTTCTCGCAGAGAATTCCAATTTACGCAAACGCGTGTTCGTGCACAACGAAAATATCATGCACTAGAGCGTGAAAATTTGTCAACGAATATCGTTTTACAGATACAGCAGGTAATTTGCGTAATCTTTTATCGAGACGTGAAAGTGATCTAACAAGATGACGAGAGTCGCGTTCCACCTCAAAACGTGTCTGCACTTGTGCCTTATCGAGCACGTTGTTTGAGAAACATCTCTGAAGAAGACTGCTTCTAAATATCTTGAAAATGTTTTTAAGCAATTTTTGCCATTCCTACGACGGCCCTGACGATACTTGTTGCGCATGATCCAGCAGTTTCGGCGTAGATCACGTGCATACGAATATACAACCCCATCGATTCTGGGGCACGTAGGGACGCGCTTGCGCCACGTACTCCGAATTTTCATTTCTCATGGACATTCCGGTAAAACCTTGGACGAGACGTTCACGTGTAGCCAGCTCGACCGAGTTGACTTTACCGACTGCGTCCAGGAATTTTCCATCGATTTTCTCGGTTCAAGGTAAAGGGAAAGCGAAGCTTCGATAGAATCTCGTTACCGACGTCATTGGCAAAGGAAAATGTAAATTTCTACTCGGTGAAGCCATTCGTGATACCAGTAACCGAAATAAAGGAAAAATGTACGTACGATGAGCTTGTAATGAATTACAGTAGCTGTGAAATATTCAAATTTAGATACTCTTTTAGTTATTATCCGATCGACCATATCAATCGTATACTAATTCGAACATGGAGATTATCGATCGACCAAATTGAAAGTAACTAATTCGCAACTTTAAACTTCTTCCATCCTTCCCACAGATATTCGCACTACCATAAAAATAGATGCATAGAGAAAATGAGTAATGTCGCTCACCCTGTCTGACGAACACTTGATTCACGTCGAGTAAAATATCGCAGCCCTCTACGATCATTCGTTCTACGGCCAAGTTTTTTCGTAAATTTTCTGTTTCACTGACCTGAAATAACGTGAATATATTAAATCCTGAATATATCAATAATCAATAGTTAATACTATATTACGGAATTAAGCAATCAAAACACGTTGCTCTGGAATGATTAACCAACGGATTAATTAAATATACGATTAGTACCTCGTCGTGCATTTGTCTCGATAAATATTCCAATTGTTGCCTCGCATTTTGTAAACTTTTTCGTTCAACGTGATCGTAAGGAGTGTGGGCCAATAATTCGTGCAGCGTAATAATGTATCTTGGAATCTGAAAAATATGTGCAGAAAATTATCTCCGGTCATCTTATTATCCTTGAAATTATTTTAATTAATATCCAATTTAACGTTAGTCGCTTGCAGTAGAATTCATCGATCAATTCTAGTGGATGTCAGATATAAATTACAATATTAATCCACGTATCAGGCAATTTCTAGGATAGTATTACCTAAAACGTCGTTAATCGTTAACCCCAATCGTATTTAAACCCAAAACACGTAGGAAACAAGGTCTTGAAAATGTAACTACGGTATTAATATTCAACGATAGCAGTCGCTTATCGCTTTGCAAAATTTAACTACATCGTGTATCATGCACGACACTGCAGATAATTCTCTTTAATCCGATTAATCGCATTTGAGGTAAGGTCATGTTCGTACAAATATTAGAATTTCTTGGTACTCTTCCTTGCCCCCCCCCCCCCTTCATTACTGTTCTCTCTTACTCCTAACTTCTCTTGCCCTTTTTTCATTCGTCGCGTATAAAAAAAATACTTAATGAGATTTGTCTCGTTATCCTATGAAGAGTTGTTGCGATAATACACGGTATAAAGCGCGTATAATCCTTGAAAACGACGAAACAAAAAAAAAAGGACGTATTATACTATATTTATAATTCAAGCGCGATAATGGAAATTATTTGTGGAATATTTATTAGAAAATGGTAAGACAGCATGCTGCAAAAAGGACTAGTGTAGAAAAAATAAGGAAAAATTGGAATATACTAATACGTAAAATCCCTCTAAATAAATTTACCTTCAAAATATTAAAAAATTTGTTTTTCATGTGCGCTGCGTGGGAAAGTGGCCAACGCAGTTCCTATGTATATATCGATTTATAAAGTAACGAAACAATTCAGCCATTAATAATAAATGTTAACCCCTAGCATTTTTTTACGTTGTTAGTAAAAATAAACTTTTCCACGCGTAATTACAATTTACAGATACCGTAACGAGCACAGCGTGACAAAAATTTACATGCATTATAAGAGAAAAATAAGACGACGCGCGACGCCGCTCCGTTTAATCACCAACGCTTAAACGAAAAGTGGAAAAAGAAATGAAACCTATTTTGTTCCGAAATGAAATTTCCACATCGAGTGGTCCTTTACCTACGGGCCACAAATTTGCTGATCGGGACACGCATGATTTTCTAGAATTATGACCGGTGATCACAACTAGTCGGAAACTGTTCGTAACATTATTACTCTCTTTTATCGTTAATTGGTCAATAGCTGTGCAATACGTGATAGAAATATCGGCCGATGAAATAGAAACCCGGAAATATTTCTCCAGGCATGTTGTATACGTAAAGCAAAATAAAAGCCATTAATTAAAAGCTCGATTAATTCCTATCGATAAGTGACGGATAGATTTTCAAAGTTTACCGCTGTTAATCGACGTTCAATCAATTTGTTTATCGAAACAAATTGAATAATAATAATGTGACATACCTGATGCATAGGATACGTTAAAAAGGTCTCCAATGAACGTCCTCCGCAAGCAGTCTTGTTCTCCAATCTAGTGAGCAATGCAGCGAACGAAGGTGATGATTGCTTGCATTCAGTCAACACTTGAAGACTGTAATGGTGGTTCCTGACGTATTCTTGATAAATTGACAACATTGGTAGTAACATGTCGAACAAATCGCCTGAAATCACCGAACATGATTCTTTCTATCGCTAGCACGGCAACATTCTAACGAAGAATTCTTCCATATTGTTACATAATCTTATATGGTACATTGCCAATTAATAACAAATAAGAATTAATCAGAATGTTACCTAAACGTTATCTCTGGATCGAATGGCTTAATAGAAATGAAACTACGTACCTAAAACTAAAGTGGGCCAGCTCTCCATACGAGAAGTGAGACCCTTCAGGAAGATCTGATGAAGGAACAACACTGTTTCGCTATTCAAAAATATGCTATTCACATCCTCGTGACTACAAGGGGGTTTCTTTGAACTGGCAGCCATCTTAAAAGGCCTCAAGAAACAGCTTACTAATATCTCCATCTGTTCCGTATATTCTTCTTCGGCTTCCACCATTTGAAACACTAAGCTGAAATATTAAGAAAATCCGTGTTGTCTTCTGTTTTTCTCCCTGCTAGGCAAAGCAAAAGATAAATACACGAGGAAACGGAACACATATATTTTGAATTAATCGAATATATGAACGAATATTTCCACTTATGATAATTTAGCCTGCTAGATTGAAGAACAGTCAAGGATATTAATTTCATTTTGCCTCTAATTAGTTGTTGGGATAATTATCGCAGCTGCACGTGGAAGGCATAGTACGATTAGCGAATCGGCCTCCCACTCAAAGCTAATGAGTTTCCGCCTCGAGAGATCATTACTTCCAATATGCCTGGAAGGAAATGACGCAGTGTTCGCCAATGAATCTTCGTGCTTCACGTGAAACTAAAATTACAGTCGCTTCGTACTCTGGTGATTGTAGTTTCACGTCGCAACTAACTAACAATGTTTTCTATGTTTATATCACACCGAGTTGTCATTCTGAATGGAGAAATTACAACTAACTTATATTACGTACGTTAGTGGCTTTTAACGAGTTGTAGGTAAAATCGTAACGTTAGGAGATATAAAAGCGAAAAGCCAGATCGTAATTACTCCTCCTTCGATCGATATATGTTATGACCTAATCGTCAAATCCTAGCACCGAATGCAACAGACATTTGAAATTAAACGCGAATATATAGTTTAGCCTATTTCTGTTTCTTCGCGTCTTTAGTTGGCACAAACGTGTAGTAGCCAGTAGCAAAGTTTCGATGTCTACAATTGGCAAGAATGATACTTAGACTAATGTGAATACAGAGCCGGATATATAGAAAGAATGCACTTAATGATCCTGGACGAGTTTTTCATTTTCTGGAAATAGGTGCAAAGTTTACCTGGTTTAAATGAGCGAAGCAGAGGAACGCAGAGAGAATGTGGCAGCAGACAAGCGCAAAGGTACATGTACATGTACGTATACGATGTTGCGGTAGAAGATGAATACCAACAAGATCAATTTCAAAGTGCCTTTGAGAGAGTAAGTCTAACAGGAATTTAGGATATGTTTAATGGCTTTTATATAATTTATACAAAGCTTTGTTCATCTTTCCGTGCTCCCATACCAAATCTAAACTAAGCACAAACAGGTGTAATTTACTATAAAATTATTCCTACGATAAGTAAAAGTTTTAGATTAAATTCAGCTGTTTGATCATCGTTTAAATATGGTAGCCGAAAATGATTATTTAATAACGTATCGTCTCGTTTCGCTACTTTTACTTAATGTTTCAAATATGTCTGCGTATAGGAGGTTAAAATTACAGCAAAAACCGCGCCAATTGTCTGAATGACTAATTAATAATGAAACTGTTCGTTAATCAGCGCACATAGCGTACTAAGTAGAAAATTCTACCAGGCAAATAATGCTCTATATTATTTATCGAAGCAAAGTTTGCTATCTGCAATTGTTTTGCTGTGAGACCTCGAGGGACAGAGTGCTGCCTCTGTTTGTTCTGTTCTTTTCCTCAATCAAACATTTATTAAGCGAATACACGTCTCGAGAGAGTATTTAATCGAATGAGAACACGAGCAACACGAAACAAACGTAACAAGCTCGATGGTGACAAACATGTACCGTAATAAACAATTCGTCTAAGTACTTTTCGAAACGAACAATGTTGCATAATCAACGTCGCGTTAAACCACTATTTAGTAATTGAATATCATTTAATATTACACAAATATTATCGCTGACATTTCACAGATACATACGAATCGTATTACCCCTATTAAAGCGTAATTGTTATCGATACAGTACACGGTTGTTTCGATTATTCGACAGGCTATTTATTTGCAAGTAAATCAATTTCAATGTACACCTGTTTCAAGATCAATGTATACAGGGTGGTTGGTAAATGGTGGTACAAGCGGAAAGGGGGTGATTCTACGCGAAAAAAGAAGTCGAAAATATAGAATAAAATTTTTTTTTTAATTTTTTCATCTAGACAACGATCTACAGTGAGATCCGTTATAACGAGACGCGACAAAGTAGACGCGTACCGAGCGACAATTCAAAGTCGATTTTCTCGAAAACAAAGCCTCGAACGAAACATTTTTATTCCATATTTTCGACTTCTTTTTTCGCGTAGAATCACCCCCTTTCCGCTTGTACCACCAGTTACCAACCACCCTGTAATGTACATTACGTATAGTAATCGTATAACCAACATATACAGTTAAATCAATTAATAGATCAAAACTAATTCACATCTGTTCCCTGTAAGATAGCGTTAATGTTCGAGATACTACAGGATAGGACGCTATATTAATCCCATTTGAATTTATCCCTTGTTCCATCTTCCATCGCCGTCTTTACAAAAATATTTAACGTTGAAGTTTTCATATTCTAAGAATTTGATCTAATAATCGTAATTAGATTCGAGAAAGCTTTCAGCACCGTTGCTATCTTAGGTGATTGTTACGTGTTTATGTTAAAGATTGAACGAATAAGGACAGTAATTCCTACCTGTTCCGCTTACGCATGCTCTCAGCATGAGGGCTTTTAATGTACTGCTCGACGATCTGCTTCCAACGCCTGCGGCACAGCCAACCCCTGAAGAAACTTTGAACCTTTTTAATTTTCTGCATCTCGATCGAGCCTTCGCTGATATCTCGTAATCCAAACGCTGAAATTCCCGAACCATGTGCCTCGTATCCAAAAGTGGATCCCGACATGTATAAACTGCCAGTGCCTTGGGACATGGTCCTTTGAACTCCCGGTCTTCCTGTATACGACGAAGCTACAGGCCTTAACTCTTTCTTCAGGGCGCACAGCTGCAAGAACGCGAATCACACAAAATAACGTGAGAATAAAGCGAGAAAAACTCGAAAAATTCGTTCTTCGAAATTATCGGAAGCGTCGAGATAGATTATGTCACGATATCATGTATAATACGTGATATGCCGTTAAATCGCTTTAATAGACAAATACTGAAATGTACTATGCCGATTTAATTAAAGGGGAACTAACAAAGTAGAATTTTCATTATGATACGAATACGCGAATTCCTTCTTTTTTTATTTTAAGATATAAATTAGAATGGACATTCTCGTATTTAATATACGGGACTTTTCAGGTCAAGGAATTTTTGTAACATCGAGCTACCTATTTTTCTAATGATCTTTATATGCGTATACTCGGAGAGGAACGAATATCTGTTAATTATATTAATGGAAAGTAAGAGATTATACCGTACACGATGTATATATATATATTTTTCATTCCAATTGCCATCGCTGTTAATACTTTCTTTGTAGTACTTTATTTCTCGGAAAAAGGTAATTCATTTTATACGCGAAATTAGATTCGTTGTTATAACATCGGAGAAAGTTTTAACGAAACCTTATCGTGTAGCAGACTGTAACCATAACGGGCCATCCTTATCTCACGAAATACTGTTGTGGCAAGGGACGATCGGAGTTTAGGAAACGTTTACGACGTTTCCCATAGCCGTCATTGTTAAACCGTAACGAAACCCAGGAACCTGTTCACGAATGTGACGATAACGTTTCGAAAGTAACTACGTTTCCGTCATAGTTGCAACAATGTGAATAATTTTGTCTCTCGTGTTGTATCGTTTGTATTATGTGGAAAATAAGTACGTGTCCAATCGTTTGAGTTGTTATGCAAATTGATGTTTGACGTTGTGTCACATTACGAAGAATCGTGACAACACCCTTCGGGGTGAATTTCCTAGCTAATCGAAATAATCTTAGCTCCAATTCCACTATTTGAAGATTAGGCGAAGCTAGTGTTTAACATACTTCTCCTCGGAGCTTCTTTATTTCTGATGCGAGCTCCTCGCATTGCTGTGTGTACTGCCACTTGGCCGTCTTCTCGGACTCGACAATCTGCAACAGGTGCAAATGCTTCTGCTCGAGCTCCTCCTTTTGCAACAGCAATCTGTTGAAACTGCAATGAATAATCAAGTTGCTAGTGGAACAGATACATATCTGCCTCCGTGCTTACGTTTTAATTAGGTCAAAATTCATCGTAATTCCAGCCAAGCAAAAGATTTTAATACAATTCTGACTATCTTAAGCCTTGGTAGATTTAGTCAGAGATTGATAAACAACATACAGCTACAGCAGATGTTAAACTATGAAATTACAAATAGAAAGCTAGTGTTGTTCGTCCTTTTCTATCGTTAGTTACGTATTTTTGCAATATTTTTTACAATATTTATACGTAATAGTTTTAGAATGGCATTCCATCTGACTTGTTATCGTACATCTTGTTAAAGCCGATTTTAGATACTACAGTGACTCGTGAAACTGTTGCAACCCTTTTTATTTAAAAGTTAGGAGGATTAGAGCTTACCACATGACGCATAAAAAATTTTTGAAAAAATTGCAATTTTTGCGAAGGAAAAAAGTAAACGTCGCATTCTTTAACTTTCTTATCGTATGCTTAAAATTGTATTCATTCCAATTGCAATTTTTTTCAAATTTCCTTTATACCCCATTTAGTAAGCTAACCCTCCTAAAATCTGCAAAAGCTTCAAGACGTTTGGTACAATTTTAAAAAACTTATTCGATCTCAAATTTGCAACGAGTTCGCGAATCACTGTAGACGGTACAACTGTAAACGAGCATATTGACATATTAACGAGTTAAGAATCACTTTGGAAAAGCGTGCAGTAGTTTCAAGTAGTATCGAACCGAAATTGATCAGACAACAGAGTCTAAGCGTTCTATGTACGCTATTAGATGGTTTGTTTCTTTTATATCTCCATTGGGTAATTTTATTTTATTCCCGTCTTCCTCGTGCATTCTTTTCGTATGCACCGATAGCTTAGAATATATTGAAATTTCCGATGAAAATGAAAGTTGTCAACAGCGTACCATTTTCTATTTAAATATCTTTCCGTATCATATATCTCGATTCGAACAAACGATTTTTATTAGTACAAGTGCAAATACCTCCAATTCCCCTATCAACTGAAATTTAATCGATAGCCACTAGTCCTTTCACGCGATGACAAACAGCAAACTCTGTAGCATCCCAAAAACATGCTATTGGCGAACGTAATACGAGTAACATTACATCGTGTCGAGTCGCAAAATGTGAAATGATAGTAATCAGAGAAACCAGTAACTCAGAAGAGCAAACGTACGTATGTATATAATATATATGTTGGTAATATAAATCCACGTTGATCTAAGGAAGAAGATATCCTTTTCGTACGTATCCTCTCCAAGGATTATAAAAGTCGGCTTCGATAAGAGAGAACAATATTAAAATATAAGTCTGCACGTTTTCTCCGGCTCTTTATCCATTTCAGATCTTACTTGATCCTATTCGGACACGGATAAAATTACTTTTATGTTAAAATACAGGAAACCCCGATTCTGATCATTGAAATTTCGTTCAAATTTCGTTCAAATTTTGTTAATAATGGTCGAGAATCGATAAAAGAAGGATCAGGGGCAACGGTTGGTTGTCCGCTTGCTTTGGCAAAAGAAAAAAGAACGGACGATGAACAACATGCGATGTTAGTGACGCACGTAGAGAACGTTATGGTCGTTTGACACACCTGTAGGCATTGCCAGCGCGATCACGTTTGTCACATAGGCAAAACCATTAAGGCACTAACGTGAAAAAGAACAGACAAGCCAACCACGATCTAAAAATCTATGGCAGCCGTGCGAGCTACGGAAATAAAAAAATGAAAATAGTCTTATTGCTATCTTAGAAAATACGAGAAAGGACAACGCGTAAGAAGTTATTTTATGATTTATTTCTCCACTCTTTTCATATCGTTAAGCTCTGCTTCTTTTGATATTTTAAAGACCTTGGACCCGAACTATGCGAAGATATCATCGTTTTAATCACGCTCATTTCGACCTATAAATTACACACATAATATATAGTTACCTAGCTTCTCGTATAGCTTCGATCCACGTTTTGCAGTCTGACTCTGTAGCCGCTTTTAGCTCGTATGATCGTTGATTCTCCCTTCTATAGGATATCGCGAAACAGTGCTGAAACACATCGTGTAGCAAAAGCATAATTAATCAAATTCCATTTCGTATCTGTGGAATGATGCGTTTACGGCGAAGTTCGTGTAAACTTAACTTGTTCGCTATACTCGTTGTCGGTGATACGGCTAATTACGAGAACAAGCGTAAGAATTTGAAAGAATCTCGTTCGTTTATCATTCCCCGATATATCGACGAAAATCTTGAAGAAACCGTGTTTCAATATAAATCATTGCAATAGCAACCGTAGCGATGGATAGGGTCGTTGCGTGGCAGCTTCGGACTTCGAAAATTCATTGAAAAGTTTCAATGAACCAAAAACAAATATACAAAAGGCAGAGATGTGGGCGTGATAAAATATGCGCCATGTCGAGTCAGGCGTTAAATACATTCCGACCGATCAGGTACTCGTAATTGTACATTTCGCCGTATTGACTCAAGCGTTTTATTATAACCCGCGACATCGTACTGCGGGTATGTTGTCAAGCGTACGATCTACACGAGAGAGCGAACGCGCGAGAGAGCATGTGGCCTATTGTAAACGAAACCTCGGTCCGAGGTCGGCAACGAGTGTACCCTACGAGCGTACAGTATGTTTGTCAACGATCGAAGATGTGTACGGCCAGTTGCAACGAAATTATGCTGACAGAGTCCAAAACTCGAAGCCGCTGCAACTTCCAGCGACACGAGCAATAATCTAGATTCAACTGATGCAACTATTTAGGTCGACGAAAATCTATGTCAACGAAATTCTTGGTTAATTTGAGAAACTGTCGTTAGAAGACGCAAAGATGGGAAATTGTTTGCGAGAGAGATTTCGAATTCGTTGCTTGGTCGTTCGTATCGAATATTGAAACAAATAAGCTTTCAATTCCAAACCGTATTTACGTGTACAAATAAAACGATATTCCTTGTACGAAGTGGAAAGCTTTTACGAAACATACTGAATTATTCTAACAGTCATAGTAATTTCATGAAGACACACGAAGATGAGAACGCAGTAGTGGAAAGGAAATATTTTACGACATGTTACGAACAGATTATGCGTTTTATACACGAGAAGCGTATTATTAATACAAAAGCGAATGTTATCAATAAATGAAAGTGTAGATTTGTCGATGCGATGAGTAGCGTTGGCGTTGCACGAAGAATTTAGTTCGTTTTACACAAATTTTGCTGCGTTTCGATTCTCGCGCCACACGGATAGAAGTTTTCTTGCTACTGCCTCGATTTTCAGCATCGCTCGACACTCTCTGCTTCGAACTTCTAATTTCTCAGATTGCGAAATCGTGTTTCCATATGTTCCATGTTGCGATACGTCATTGATCGTGTTTCGTTTCTTCCGTAGACGTACGACTTAACCGAACATCCGTAAACTTCACGACAAATACGTTCGCTGTTTAAAAAAAGGTACGTTTCAATGGAAAGAACGAATACAAAGGTAGAGCGATAAGTTCGCGTAAAACATTCCGGAACTGATCGAAAGCGTTGAAACAAAGTGACGAAAAAGACAGACGTTTAATAAATCTCTGAGAGATCTGTCGTCGACATCGGTATATCTCGACAGAGAAAAACATCGGAACCAGAAGTTCTTATTATCGAGTCGATTACGGTCCTGTGTACAAGGCGAGCCAACGGGACGCCAGTAATCCATCAAGCGGTTGTCAAGCACGTACTTTCTCCACCACGAGGACGCATATTAGACGTTACTTACAGACAATTTGCCGCCGACTCGGCTACGAAAGTTTCTCTCAGGGGAGAAAACGGTTCTTGGCTCTCGCCTTTCCGCCCGGTGCTCGAGTTTCAATTTTTTTCTTTTTTTTTTTTGCGATGCCAATTAAGGTAGGGAAGTTTTATGATAGGATCCCTAGAGAAGAGCGGAAATAATCCCTTTTCTGTCTCACTTGACCTATTACGTCAGTGTTTTCGCCGCGCTCCTGCTTCTCCACGAAATTCTCAGACTGCCGCAGTTTATTCATGCGTTATCCGCCTCAAAGATCTGTCCTGCTTTACATAACCTTTAGCGGAAAGCCTGACACGACTTCGCCATGATTTCGTATAGCATCAAATTCATAATTTCTCACGTTCTACCTTCGCGAGAATAATTACGCGTTTATCTTCGAAACGCGATCGTACGATATGATACAAGTTAACGGTACGAAAGAAAATAAATATCGAATGTTTCCTAATCTTTTATTCGCACGCGATGCTTTACAAACGTAGCATTAGTTGAATAATGTTTCTCATTAACGTCAAAATCGTTCAAACGCCAACTTTCCTTGCCCCATTTATATTTAGGTCGTGCTAATTGCTCTCCGTTTTAAAGTCAGCTAGGTTTATGACAGAGATCCTCAGGCAAATGGAAATAATTTCTTCCGTGTCTTGGCAATCTATCGCGTCACGATTTGCTTCAGAATTCCGTTTCAGCGTGGGATTGCAAGTTCGAACGATCGTCGATCGCGCCTAGCTGTACGATAAAGTAAAGGAATCGAACGATTTTTAGTCGAAATCGTAGAATTGTGGAAAGGCATTCGACGCGTGACATATCCACCAATTTACTAATCAAATATACGAGGAATTGTAAATGTACATGTAGAGTATCTTTCGAAGCTTGGCTGAGCTGTGAGGTCGCGATTCGATCGAAATTCACGACAAACAATATGCGAATATGCGAATAGGTATACTGTCGTTTCGACGAAAGAGAGACTATTAATAGTAATCGTCGCTAGGGAATTAATGTTCCTTTGGCCAACGTGGATTAAAGTCAGCCTCCAACCACTCCCTTTAACTTTGATACTCTGCAGGGGATATGCGGACAAGGCCATTCTGTGTTTCTATCCTACCTTTCTCATTTGTTAGCCTAATTCGCGTGGTTCTGCCTGTTTCGTTATCTTTTCATTCGTCTAATTACGTTCTGCGTACATGCCGTATGTTGGTACGAAAAAATAGTTCTCGAATTATCGCTCTTTTTACAACGTTGAATTCGTCCAACTTTTATAATATCGTTCAACTTCTAATTGCATTAAAAATATTAGTAAGAACGCAAAGTGTGGCAAAATTCTTTCGCTAATATCGTCTGTTCTCGGTGAAGGATTATTATTAAGGGTATTAACGTTAAACGCTTTATTTTCTCTGAAAAATGTTCCCCGGCTATGACTTTTCTAATAAAATTATCCTACAAAGCGCATCAACAACAAGTTTTATCGTGGATATAAAAACCTTTGTTCCCTTGAGCGGATAATTTTCAATTATTCGATATCCGATCGTATGGCATTCGTTGTTCAATGCCATTAAACAAGACTATACCTTTCATCGATTATTACATGACCTGACCATGTTGTTTGAAATGTTTAATTTCTCCATCCGACGAAGTCAGAAATTGTCACAAAACGAATCAGATCTGAAGAAATTCGATAGCGGAAGGTACCTACCTGCTGGATCGTCTGTATCCACTTTACAAGAAAAAGTGATTACTTTGATTGCTAGCTGTGCGAGTATCTCGTTACCTATGACAGGCAGCCAGAATTAACTCGCGAACAAAACGAGCTAAATCCCTGGCCAATTATAAAGGGACACCTTCCCTGTCTCTTAATGATGAAAAAGACGAAATAATTAATCTCACGATATGACAATGCTTTTATTATTATTTCTTTCGAGCATTAGAAACAATGATAACGGATTATTCCTTTTACGCATAGGTTCTGAGAACACTTTCTTGAATCGTGAAATATTTTTCTAACCAGCGGTGTTTCGTTCATAAAATTTTCCCGAGCATTTCCAGATTAATATTTCAGCGTGTTTCTGTGCCTAATTTAAATTCATGCGCGAAGGGTACTCCAGATTCCAACGAAAATACTGTATTCTTTTTTCACCGCCGCTTGGACAACCACGAAACGCAACTTGACAAATAAAAAGAACGAGGAAAGTACATCGACGAAAACAGATTTTACGTGGACGATACGTGGAAATAAAAATACAAACTATCAGCTTCGTTCGATGTGTTTTAATCTGGCGCGTACTAAATCCACCACAGATTTCACAGCATACGTTTTCCTGTTTTTAAACTACGAAATATCGGCCAGCCGTTATCTTCTCCTACGTGTATTGGAATCGAAGAAAATCGGAAGCGGACGAGGCAGCGATACGTAGGGGCAGCAGTTTTCCGTCTCGATGAACTAATCGTACCTTTTCAGCCGTCGAATCCGACTGAACAAATACAGAAGTATAGTGAACGAAGTACAAATCCAGATACGGGCCAGCCACTCTTACAGCCGGATGAAATTGGAACGGACGTCGACTGTAAATATTTAACGGAAGCGAGAAGGAAAACAGCTCCCTGTCCACCACCTAGCTGGTGGAAAGAACAACTTCCTAGGGCCGACGTTGTTTATGCCGACGATATAAAGAATGGATGCTACGGAGACGAGTTCTGCCACGAATGAACCAAGGTACCCGCTGAAAGGAATATCGTGCGAGTTTTTTTCAAGATGAATCGTTTACTTATATCGCCACAGCTTGCTTAATCTTAACGTCTATTAATCGAAAGAAAATCAGAGAAACGACAAGGAAGCATCGGGTCGTTTCAAGTAGAAGAGATTAGCTTGGGTCAGACGTAGGACGAGCATCGGTATCGATGAATCGTCCGACGAATCTTTTCCTCTATTTCCTGCACGCTTAATTTTTCTCGCTCTCGAACGTAACGATCGAAATCGTAGATATTACAGCGAGTATCGTTAATCCTGCGCACACATACTTGGCGACATACTGTGTGTACACGTGAAACGTGGAACAGTAGGCATTTATCATTACAGCAGGGAAAATGAAACACGTAGGACACGTCAATTTATTTTCAGATCTAAAGTCGAGGGAAAAGTACTGCGAATAATTTCAGTGGCTTGGAGCAATTTGTTTTGTACTCTTGTATAGGCAAACGAATCAATGCGAGTTATTTCGGTGTAGAAATATTTCACATTCCGCGAAACATAGTCTTTAGGAACGTATGA